TTTTTAAAAAAAATAATTTCGTGGCTTTTAAATAAAGCCACGAAATTTTAATTTTTTTTTTAGCGATCCGTCGCTTTTTTAATTTGATTTTTTCCGTTGCTATTTAATAGCAACGGATAATTTTTTTTTAAAAAAAAAATTATGTGAGCTTTTATTTAAGGCCCCAAAATTTTTAAAGCTCGAGCCAGGCCTTAGTTGGGCTTGGCTCGCGAGCCTATGAGCCTATAATATCAGGCTCAGCTCAGCTTGGATCAGCTCGGCTCGCTAGGCTCGCGAACCTTAAGGCCTATGAGGAGCTTTAGTATGTATTAGTTTAACCAGTAGATATATGACTTTGTAAATCTGTATATTGTTTATGACTTAAGTTTTATAATAAAATATATTTGTGAGACCTTGCTAGTTAATAAAAAAAATTTAGCTATTGAGTCAAGGAGAAAATCAATTAGTCAAAGGTACAATTATTAAACTAGACTTAATATTAATTGAGCTAACTATCCTTAGTAAATACTATAATTAATTTTTATATATAAAAATAATTACAGTAATTAAAAATAATTAAAACAACTGAAACTAATATGACAATCTAAAATAATTAAGGCCAAAAATAATTAAGGCAATCAAAAATAATTAAGGCAATCAAAAATAATTAAGGCTGTTAAAAATATTTTTTGGTTTTGGCAATTGAAATTATTTTTGATAATTATATTTTTGGCAAATATAAAAACAATTAAGTTAATAAGTATAGGCTAAACTAATTTATATCAAAAATTTTGTCAATTTTTAGTTATTTGATATATAAAAGTATATAATAAATTGTAGATTTTTTGAAACTGGTTAAAAGTTATATTTAATTGTTATTTGAAAGAAGAGATAAAATAAAATCAAATAATAATTATCAATTTGATATGAAAAAATAAAGAAAAATACAAAACTCATTTTGGAACACTTGAAAAATCAACAGTTTAATAATATTATATTAAACTATTATAGAGAAATTATAAGTTCTATTTAAGTATTTTTTTTTTGAGAATAAATGTGTAGGCCTTTCAGGAAAACAACACTTCAAAAGTAGATTATATATTTAACAGATTATGGGTGAAAATAATGCAATGGAGTTCAAGCTCAAATCTAATTAAAGAGTTTCAATTATCTTTGAAATTATTCTGAACACTTATCCTATTTAACCGGAAGCACAATTCTTAATTAATAGTCAATTAGACTTTAAAATTATAACATAATGTATTATAGTATAAATGTTACAATAGTATTTGCATAATAAAAAAAAGCAAACATATTGGTAATAGGAAACAATCTACACAAAAAGTTTAAGTGAATCTTAAATTAATTTATTTAATTAATTAAATGAATTATTTATAATTTAACAAAATATTAATATTATAAATATCACAATATAATTATGAATATTTTTGGAATTATTTATAAGTAGGTAAAATCTTGCCAATACATTCACCAAATCCAATTAAATAATTTTCATTTGTACAATACCCAGTTAATAAAATTTCATCTCCATCTTCAATAAATGTTCTTTTATTTCCATTAATATCAATTTTAGTTTTTCCATTCCAAGTAATTTCTAATAATGATCCTAAGGGACTTTTATTCTATTTAAGTATATTAAAAAAGTATTTGTTATATGTCATGTGTATATGATTTAAATATTATAAAATAAAATAAAAGAAAAAATGAATAAAAAAATAATAACTTACAGGACCACCATTAATAGCATCAGGACCACCACTAATAGTACCAGTACCACATAAATCTCCTGATCTCATATTACATCCATTTACTGAATGATGAACCAGTTGTTGTTTCAATGACCAATACATGTATTTCAAATTTGAATTTGCAATGGTTACATGAGATTTACAATGGTTTGCTAATAATCAAAAAGAAACTAATAAATTAAGATAATTTCAATCTCAGATTTTGAAGAAAGTTGTTAAAATTCCTCACATTTCATTTTGACTTCCAAATGAATATCATAGGCTGATGGTCCAGTATCTTGCAAATATTTTAATGGAGTGGGATCCTATATATTGCATTTAGATAAATAATTATATTATATTTCAGTAATATAAAAAAAGATAATTTTTTAGAATATTTTTACTTGTTTAGGTCCTTCAACTAAAAATGGTTCTAATGCATCCATTGTAACAACCCAAGGTGAAATTGTTGTTCCGAAATTTTTTCCCAGGAAAGGGCCTACAATAATAATAATAATTATAAGAATGATAAGAATGATGATGAAAAGAAATTGTTATTTATCATTTCACATTTTTAATTACCTAATGGAACATATTCCCAAGCTATAATAATGAAAATAATGAATTTTTAAATTAAATAATTATTATTACAATTATTACAATGAAAAATATTCTAGGCTATAAATCATTTAAATGATTTAAATGATTCAAATGCTCACCTTGAATATCTCTAGCTTTATATTCAGAAAAAATAAAATAAATAAATAAATGAAAATAAACAAATAAATAAATACAAAATAAATCAAATATTGTGTATACCACTCCAGTCATTCATCAAAACTACTCCAAAGATATGGTCAATTGCTTTTTCAATTGGAATAGGTTCACCAAGGTTATTTCCAGGGCCAACAAAAAATGCCTTTGAAGATATTAAAAAATTTATTAAATGATTTAATTTTAATCTTTCATTTTCTACACCTATATAAAAAGTCAACTACCATTTCCAATTCAAAGTCTAACTTTTTCGATGCACCAAAAATTGGTGGCTGATCTTTTCCGGGGGATATTTGACCACTGGGACGTACGATATCCGTACCAGAAACAACAATACTTGAGGATCGACCATGATATCCAACTGGTAAATGACTCCTTTTAAAAAATATTGACAAAATAAAGATATATAAAAAAACATAATTGATAATATGACAATATAAAAATTTGATTTTTATTTTTATTAATTAAACAAGTTCAATAATAATAATAATAATAATTACCAGTTTGGCATTAATGCGTTATCTTTTCCTCTAAACATAGTACCCACATTAGTAGCATGTTCTTTGGAAGCATAAAAATCTGTGAAATCTCCAATGTTAGCCGGTAAATGCATTCTTGCCAACTTTTGTGATATTAAAGCTCGTTGTTTAAGTTCAATATTATCTCGTAAAGTTGAATCATTTTCTGATAGAATTTGTTGTAAGTATTGACGAGTTGCTTGCCATATAGGTCTGCCCAATGACATAAATTTATTCAAAGTTGGCTAATGATTAAAGAATAATTACATTTAATTAAATTTAATTTATTTAATTTATTGGATATCCGACGATAAGAGGAAAAGTTTTAGTAAAATATATCATGTAAAATATCAAGTTACCTCAGAAAAAACGTTGGAAAGATTTTTCAGTTCAGGAACATTTTCTTCTAATAATGAAGTTAAGGATGATAAATCTAAAATTTGGTCACCTATAGCGACTCCAACCCGAGGTGAAGGCTATATTAAATTAAATAAAAGTATATTTGTAAATTATTTGTTGGTAAATATATATATATATATGTAAATTATTTGTTGGTAAATATATATAAAGAATTTACAAATTTTTCAGTAGAAAAAATTCCAAATGGTAAATTTTGAATTGGAAAATGGGAATGAGGCGGAATATCAATAAACGATTTCATTATTTTCTCACCCCTCAACTCCTTGAATGCAGAGCGTATTTATTTATTATCGTATTTGTGTCGATCGTTTATTAAGTTATTTGTAATTTAGGAAAGGATCTAATGAAGGATGAAAATTTTTTCGACACAACGACGACGTTGTAAAGAAACAATTTAAAAAAATTCTTCAATTTTTTACTCGAATAAATAATATCAATGCTGAAAAGATAAATTGGGAAAATTGCGTTCAATTATTCAAAGTCAGAATAAAAAAGATAACTTGATGTCATTTTTACAATTAATCATTTTTATATTTTATATTTTATATTTTATATTAACAAGTAAATAATGAATAAAGATGACATAAATATTAGATTTTTACAAATTTTTAAAATAAAAACGAGAAAAAAATTGAATTAATGAAAAAAAATTAAATAAATCATCTTTTAATAAAAATAAACAAAAGAAATTATCTATTACAATTATTATAATTATTATTATCATTAAATTATTATAATTATTTATTATCATTAAACTATTATAATTATTATTATCATTAAATTATTATAATTATTATTATAATTATTTTGCAACGCAAAAATGTCTCAGTTCACTAAAGATATATTCGTTGAAACGAATTTTAAAAGTACAAATGTTTACTTTCGTACAACGACAGATATCTTCACTACTACTGAACTTTTATCAACTCATGATTCTGGTACTTTTATATTAAATGATGACAATGAAAATGAAAATAATTCAACCGTGGAACAAAGAATTACAGCACAGCCTCCTCTTAATAATGATGATGATACCAATAAGTCATCAGAAATTCATCATTATAATTATAACGCAAGTAGATCATTTAAAATAACCGAAAGTATTGAAAATATTGAAAATATTGAAAATATTGAAAATATCGAAAATATTGAAAATTCAAGAAATATGAAAGAAGTATTAAATAATAATAATTCGAATGCACCCAAAAGTTTTGGTACGATTATAAGAAATGAAACCATTAGTTCTGATATATCTATCATAGATAATGTTCATACTGAAAGTGTGAAAAATAATAACAACGTCGTCCTTCGCGAAGGAAGGGTAGGAGGAGGAGAAGGAGTAGGTGGAGGAGAAGGAGATTTAGTGAGTAGCATAATTACCAATAATAATCGAATGGATACGAGAAAAAGTGTAGATATTGAACGACATAGTGATATATGTAAGGAAAAGAATAATAAAGAAATATATAAAAGTATGGAAAATCGGAATGACCGTGGTGCTGAAAAACTTATTGGACATCGTTGGATTAATGTAGTATGTCGTAAAATCAAAACTTTTTTTTTTGCAACATATTTCAAAAAATTTAAAATTTATTTAAACTTTTCTTTATATATAGAGAAAGTTGGAATATTTGGTTAAAAATGGTCATGATCGTTATTGGAAAAATGAAAACGAATATAACCTGTAATTTATTATTTGTTATCAACTTTTATATATTTTCATGTGATTTTATCAATTAACTATTTTATTATTAAAGTTCCGGTCAACATATTAAAAGTTACTGGATTCGGGTCGGCCAATTTCAATTACATGCAATTAATCATCCCCTTGCTCAATATTTGGATATTGCTGCCCGAAATGAAACCCAAGATGGTAATGGACGACTTCAATTTTTTATTAAATAGTCAATAATCCTAATAATGGAAATAATGAAAATTTTAATTTCCTCATCCTCTTAACAATGAAGAATCGGGAGATAAATCATGCCGAGGAAAAAATGATTCCAGATCACAAGATTCGCTTATTATATCAGAAGAATCAAATTATCAATTAGAAGTGAGAGGTTCACAAGATTCGGGTATGAAAATTACCGATAAAGATTTCGCAGATCTAAACCTAAACGATATTAGTCAAGGTGATTTCATTAAATTGAATCATTTAAATTATGAAAATCTTCTAATTTGGAAATACTATTTTTAGGACAAGAATTTCAACTATCTCGATGTGAAGGAAATGTTTCTAAGTACGAGGCAGAAGAGATAGAAGAGGTTGAGGAGGTAGAAGAGGTAGAAGAGGTAAAAGAGGTAGAAAAAAAAGATTTTCATCAAATGGATACTGATATTGACCATGCGGAATCAATGAATGCCACATTTAGTAGTATATCTTGCAATATCGATAATACTGATAATTCTCAAGACATTTCGCACAAAATCGATAAAGGTGAAAGTATTAGTAGTAATAGTAGTCGAATGAATGTTGATGATAATGATCTTCTTGTTTTCGAATCGAATAATCTTAACGATGAAAGATACAACGTTGATTTTCGGGTGGATACTACTTTAAATAACAATGATGATGTTAATGATGATTCAAATGAATACAATGATGAATTATCAAGTGTAGTTCTTCGAGAAACCATTGAAGTGGAATCTATTCACATACAAGAAGATGATTATTCACTTGACTCTGAAGCTGTCACGATCGAACATCTTCCATATGTCTCAGTGGTAGTAGGTGATTCAAGTCAGGAAACTCGAAAAAATCGTGAAAATATTGACGAAAATATTGTTGTTGATGAAAGTATTATCGATGAAATTGTTGTTGAAAATGTCGGTGATGAAAATTTTGAAAATATTGGTGATGAAAATATTGAAAATGTTGAAAATATTGAAAATACTGATAATATGGAGATTGATACTGAGGAAACCAGCACCGAAGAAAATTCGGAAACCGGCATGCAAAATGAAATCACGTTAATTAAAGAAGATAAAAATGAATGTGATATTGATTTCCGAATGCTTACACCATTCCCAATATTACATAAAGAAAATAAAAGGGGAAAAGGTAAAAGAGGTAAAACTAGTAAAACTAGAAAAGGTAAAGGTAAAGAAGGTAAAAAAGGCGAGGATGAATTTATGGATAATATGGTTGCTGTCACAGATTGGGATCCATATGTGGAATGTATTGAGGCTGTTCAACGAGATGAAAATACCAAGAAATTATTTCTTATTATTCGATGGTATTGATTTTATTATTTATTTATTATTGCTATTTTTATTACTTTTATTTTAATTATTTGTTTTTTTTTATATATATTAATTATATTAATAAATATTTATTCAAGGAAAAATGGGGTAAAGACTATTCATTGGAATGATGATGCTAATCCACTATGCCCTCAAAAGGTTTTGAATCCTTTCTTTCTTTCTTCATTCTTTTGATATAAATAAATATAAATATTAAAATTAAAGTATTTTAATTTAATAATAATAGATACTCGATTTTTATGAATCATCTATAGTTTTTAGACGAGACGAGGGAGTTAACCATATGATTTGAAAATAACTTGAGAATTTTTGATAAATTTTTTGTATTATTTTACAATTATTTTAATTTTCGTAATTTTCAAAAAAAATTTTTGATTTTTTCTTTTTGAACGAAGCTCTGAATGCGGTATTTTTTTTTTAAAAAAAATGTAAGAAATGAGCAATACTGTATAATTATAATCAAAAATTCCAATTTTTTTGTATTAAAAAAGATGAAATCTCATTATTCATTTATTGTTAAAAGAAATGGAAAAGTTTGAACGGTTCAGCAATTCTACGAAGTAAAAGAAAAATATTAACATTTCTTTTTTTCGAAAACAGTATTACGAAAATATGTCAATTAATATTTTCGCATGGCATAACTAACACTCATACACAAGAAAACGTAAGACAAAGCAAGAATATTTCTTAATTTCCTATAAAAAAAAAAAGATAATATAGTATGTAAAGCTTGATATTTTCGAAAAATTAAATATCAAATTTTATTTTATTTCAATTTATACTTTTAAAGGAGAGAAAAATACACAATAATAGCATAACAAAGATTATTAGAAATTTATCAGGTGAAAAAAAAAGAATAGTAATGATATGATAATAATAGAATTTTGAATCACGAATCGCGCAAAGAAGAAGAACAAGACGAACGAGATGAATTATGAAATGGATCAAATTCCTTAATAAAACTTTCAGATTTTACAAAAAAAGGCTTATATGAAAAAAGAAAATAAAAGAAAATAAAGATAATAAATATTTAAGAAATAAATAATCATAAAAATAGTAATCAATAAATAAAAAGATTTTACCAATTTTGATGTTTCTTGTTTATGTATTTTAGCCTCCGCCATTGCATTTCTTAATTCTTGACTTAAGAATCCGGTATAATCGATCGTTTTTAAATCTTCGAATCTTTTTGTTTCATCATATTTTACGGTAGTTTCTTGTTTCAAATTATCATCAAGATTAATTAAAGTTTCAACTTCTTTCTTGATACTATTTTCAAGTACAAACTTTGATCCATCAAATACTAATAATGAATCATTTCGAGATAAATTCTTTGATAAATCTGGATTAGATTCAAAAGCCGAAGCCGATTTCATTTTCGTATCCAAAATTGAACAAGAACCGATTTTCTGTAATTTAATTGTTGTTTTTGTTGTTGTTTGTTGTTGTTTAATACCAGTGGCTTTTTCACCTTTCCTGGATGAATGATGGTGACGGTAATTTCTCAAATTATTCGAGTTATTTGTTGGTGAAACTTCGTTAAGATCAATAAGATCAGATTTTTCTTTTCGTAAAATAATGTTCTTTTCTGTATTTATTTTTATTCTACTTTTTTCTGGCGTTTTTTCCACATTCCAATCGACTAACATCCCATTTTTACCTTTTGATATGTTCCTAGTCGTTATGTTCCAATTAGATTTTATATTTTCCTTTTTATTATTATTATCATCCCATCTTACTTCTTTTTTGATATTTTTTGATTCTGGTAAATTGACATATTGCCGTCGTTTCCGTTCAGTTTTATCTCGTCTCCTATCATCCTCGGTATTAGTATCCTCGATAGTAGTAGTAGTAATAATAGTATCCTTAGTAGTGGTATCATTCTTGGTAGAAACAAAAGAAACTTCTTTGACTAGTTCAGATTTCTCTCGTCCCCTAGTGGTAGTATCCATAAAAGAAACATCTTTGACTATTTCAGGGTTTTCACGCCGCCAACCATCCTTGATAACATCAATAAAAGAAATTTCTTTGACTATTTCAGGTTTTTCTCTTCCCCAACCATCCTTAAAAACGACTTCTTTGACTAATTCATGTTTATCTCGTCCCCAACCATCCTTGGTATTAACAGAAGAAGCTTCTTTGACTAATTCAGGTTTCTTTCGTCCCCAAGCATCCTTGTTAATAGTGTCCGTAAAAGAGACTTCATTGATTTCTTCAGGTTTTTCTCGTCCCCAACCATTAAAAGAGACTTCTCTGACTAATTCGGGTTTATCTCGTCCCCAACCATTAAAAGAGACTTCTCTGATTAATTCAGGTTTTTCTCGTCCCCAACAATCTTTGGAAGAAGTTTCCTTGACTAATTCAGGTTTCTTTCGTTTCCAATCATTCTTAGCAGTAGTATTCATAGCTTCTTTGATTAATTCAAGTTTCTCTCGTCCCCAACCATCTTTAGCAGTAATATCCACTTCTTTGACTATTTCAGGTTTCTCACATCTCCAACCACCATTAGTAGTAGTATTCACAAAAGAAACTTCTTTGATTAGTTCAGGTTTTTGTCCCCAACCCTCCTTATTAGTAGTAGTATTCTTGACTACTTCAGGTTTCTCTTGACCCCAAACTTTAGCAAAGGAAACTTCTTTGACTAATTCAGGTTTCTCACGTCCCCAGCCGTCCTTAATAGTTGTGGTATTCTTGACTACTTCAGATTTTTCTCGCCCCCAATCATTAACAAAGGAAACTGCAGGTTTCTCACGACCCCAACCATCTTTAGTAGTAGTGGTATTCTTGACTATTTCAGATTTTTCTCGCCCCCAATCATTAATAAAAGAAACTTCTTTGACTAATTCAGGTTTTTCTCGTCCCCAACAATCTTTATTATTATTAGTAGTAGTGGTATTCTTGACTAATTCAGGTTTTTCTCGCCTCCAATCATTAATAAAGGAAGCTTCTTTTACTAATTCAGGTTTCTCTCGTTCCCAACAATCTTTATTATTATTAGTAGTAGTATAATCCTTGGTAGTAAAAGAAGATTCTCTCATTAATTCGCATAAATTTGAATGTTTACTATCGAAAATTTTTTAAATTATAAGAACTAAATTAGTAAACACAACATGATAATCATTAATTTAATAATTTTTTACAATATATATATACCTCTCGATTTTCGGAATATCTGGTGGCAAAATTTCTATTGACTAATATATAAATTAATCATAAAGTCAGTAAAAAAATGAATATAGGTTGAGAATATAACAAAATAAAAAATTCCAGAATCGTTCATAACCCATGGTTGTCTTCTCTAAATTTATATAATAATTATAATAAATATAATAATAATCTTTTCATTACTATCCCACCTGAAAATCATTTCTTAAAACAGTTTTAGGTTGAACTCCTGGACTAATAATAGGATATGGTGGTGGTTGTACGATCTACCAAAAAAGATAAGATCGATATTCATTTAAAATCCATTATTTATTATTTTTTTTTTAATTAATATATATATATATGAAAATACATTGATTTTATTCGCGTCACGAGAAGAACTTTCACCAATTTCTTCGAATATATCCATTAAATTTGCTTCTTCTGCTGTTGGAGTTGTTATAGTAGTGATAGGGATAGTATTAGTAAAAGTATCAGAAGTATTGCCTACATTGATATTTTGATAATAACTTCCACGAATTTTTGATATTGGTGGTATGTGCCGACGTGAGTCACTTGGATTAGGAGATAATGGATCCGCAACCTTAAAAATGATGATGTTTAAAGATAAAATTATTTAAAGATGAATGATTTAACGCGAACTTTAAGTAAAAATAACGCAAATAACAAATGATTAATAACAAAATTTAAACATATATAATATAAGATTACTTTAACATTTAATTCTAATGCTCGCGCGTTCCATGGACGAAAAGGTAAATCCTTTGAAGGGAAGGCATGAGTATCTTTAGGAACATTCATAATTACATGCAACAATAGCTTTTTATATAACTTTTATAACTTTTATATTTAAAAGATATCTTAATAAACAAATATGTTATAAAAGGTTATTCGTTATTTTTTTTTTAACTTTGAAAACAACCTATTCATTAATTATGGGATAAAAATTTTGAAAAGTTGAAAAAAATGAAAAAATGAAATGAGAGATTATTATCGATTATCCACTTTATTTATAGTTTTGGATATCATGTATTCATATATACATACATATATATATATAAGATGTTTTTTTTTTGCATGAAACATAATGTGATCTCATAGTGACCTAAGACACAATAAATCTCTTGTCAACTTAAGATTTGGATGATGACGTACGTTTAAAACATATGTATTATAGTAGTAATTCATACGCAGTATACGCAGATGATTTTTCATTAGTTGATGTTATCTTAAAGTTTTTGTTCAAGTCTTATTTATTTAGTTTAATATTTCTTTGATTTAGTTGTAAAATATAAATTATACTATAATTACACGTATAAATTATATGTATTTTTCAAATATAAAGTTTTAACGCTAGCATTTTTAATAGTCTAAAAAAAAGGTTAAAAAGATACGTTGCGTGGTCTTTGGGTTATTGACGAAATATTTTATTGATGATATTTGATAATATATTATAATGTTTTTTATACACATAAAAAATAATATAGTAAAAATGTAACATGCATGCGAATCAAATTCTGTACTGTAAAAAAAGTAAATAGGTAATTTTTAATTCTAATTATTAAATTATATTAAATTAGATTATTACTAACTAAATCTCTAAATTTAATATTTTAATACAATAATCTGATCCACAACTCACACATCTTAATTTTATTTTATTATTTTCAGTTGAATTCGTGAATTCACTTAAAGTAAGACGATTTACACTTGCCACATGGCAATTACTAATATATCGTATCAAAAAAAGAAAAAAGAAACAATAATTTAAATTTAATTAAATTTAAAAAGTAAACAAAAATAATTCGAGTTTAACACTTACTCTTTATCCACATCCATTACCAAACTCCATTTATCTATTTGTTCAATCTCTGAAATAAAGAATAAAATTTTTCCATTTTCTAATCCAGCTGCCATAAAATATCTAAACCAAATAAGTAAATAAATAAATGAATAAATAAATAAATGAATAAATAAATGAATAAATAAATGAATAAATAAATGAATAAATAAATGAATAAATAAATGATTTAATGCTTATAATGTTTTCAATCTGATATATATGATACCAGTTTTTATGTACCTTTCTTTTCCAATAAATTTGGGAGCAAAATCAATTGCTGTCACAGCTTCACTTAATTTTATTGTTGTAATACATTTCCAATTATTAATTTTATCTTCTTGTTTCCATATTTTTATCTATACAAGAATAATTATAATAATTAAAAATAATTAACAACAATATAATAAATAATAATAATATAAATATAATAAATAATAATAATATAATAATTAATAATAATATAATAAATAATAATATAATAATAAATAATAATAATCGGATGATTATTTACCGTCTTATCTCTTGAAGCAGTAGCAAATAATAAATCATCATGACTCCAAGAAGAATCCCAAATTATGCGTGCATGTGATTTATTTTTGGCTATTAACTTATATGGTGTTACTGAATTAAATAATAAACTTAATACAATAATAACAAAAATAATAATAATAACAAAAATAATAATAATAACAAAAATAATAATAACAATAAAAATAATAACAAAAAAAATTTCTTTAAAATAATTTATACCTTCATCATCAGTTCTTTCAAATAATGACCATAATCTATCCCGAGAAACACTTAAAATCCATTTATCATTATGAGAGAACCTTATTTTTGTAACTGTTAAAGAATGTGATTCCAAAGTACCATTTGAAATTTCTTTCCAAGTTTTTGTATTATATAATCGAATTATTGCATGTTCGGTTGTTGTTGCCTACATTTACATATTATTATGCATATTAATAAAATATAATTCTAGAAAAATATGTATAAAAAAGAAAAAAGACTTACTTTACATGCACTAGCCACATATTTTCCATCATGACTTGCACCTACACTTATAATTTCATATCCATGTCCATACCTAATGAATGAATTAAAAAAAAATATTTAATGAAGATTTTTTTAGCATCAGATCAATTAATTTAATTTAATCTAATTTATTAAATTTATTAAAATAATAAATTATTAACTTACAATTGTTCAACTTCTGGCCATAAAGTACTTTTCGATAATTGTTCTTCTAAAGGTGGTTTATCCAATATCTTTAAAGTATTCAAAGTAGATAAAGATGTATGCCCTGGAATCTTTCTATCTAAAAATTCTTCTTCTTGATATGATTCCATTGAATTTTCTATATCCGAATTAAATATTGCTTTATTGGATAAACCTAATGGTGGAAGATTTGCTCCCACTGGACGAGATCCCTAAATATTAATTATTAATATAATAATTTTTTTTTTGATTTAATTAAAATAATTTTAAATAACCAACTTTAATAAAATGAATAAATGAAACAAACCAATTCTTCCAAATTATTATTATTATTATCATCATTTTCTCTAGTTATATTTGCCAAAGATTTTACAAAATTTTTTGGTGCATCAAAAACTCTCACGATCTAATAAATATATTAATAGATACATTAATTAAAGAGAGAAAAGAAAGACAAAGAAAGAAAGAGAATGAGAAATAACCTTTTCATCGGATCCACTAACATATTTCCATTGATCCACAAACGATAGACATTGAATATCATAACCATGAATTTGTGGACGCCCTATCTCGTGCCATGTTGTAATAATATTTTCTATTTGATTTTTATTGTTTTCATTTGAATAATCAATTTGACGATTCCATGTAGAAAATAATCTTGCTGTTTGATCTAGACTATTTATATATATTAATTATATTAAATTGTATAAATTATAGAATTTAATAGAAAATAATGAAATAGAATGATAAAAATATATAATGATAATTAATAATACCTTACAGATACAAGATATTTAAATGTTGAATTCCATGAAATATCCAAAACAGAATTGAAATGTCCACTTATTGATACTTGAGGTTGCCAATTTTGATTATAATCTTCTTTATTATTATTATCATCATCATTTACATTCTTCCATAAATGAAAAGCACCAGTGTGACCATGTGCTATAATGTAATTTCCTTTTGGACCAAATAATCCACCATAAAATCCTAATGTATTCCCACCAATCTCTCCTACTCGTATCTAAATATTAAAGCAGTTAGCTTTGTTAGCTGTATTCAATATAAATATATAAATAATAAAAAATAAATAAACCAATAAAATAATAGAATAGTAAACAAAAATAAAATAAAAAATAATAAAATAATAAAATAGTAAAATAATAAAATAATAAATAATAAAATAATAAAATAATAAATAATAAAATAATAAAATAATAAAATAACAAAATAATAAAATAATAAAATAATAAATAAAAATAATAAATAAAATAATAAAATAATAATTTAAAGTAATAATATTAATATTTACCAAGTTCATCCAAACACCTGTTTCAAGTTCAGGTTTCCAAATAATCATTGATTTATCAGATGAAGAAGTAAGAATTGACATTGGTTGATGATATTTAAAGTTATCCTTCTCATCTATAAAATTTATAAAATTTATAAAAATTGTAATTAAATTTATTATATTATTATATTCAAAATTTATTTTCTTTTATATTAAATTATTCTTTACCTTTAATAATTAATGGTGGATGCCAGCAAACACTATATATCCCATCATCATGTCCCATAAGTAATGCCTCAAACATTACTGAATAATTTTTTCTATAAATATTAAATTATTTTTATAAAAATATTTTATAAAAATAGATTTAAATAATATTATTATTAGTATAGGAAATTTTATTACTTGGTATTATTTTGATCATCAATTTCTATTATATGAGCTTTTGTACTTAATTGGACTTTTTTGTTGGAACTAAAAAATAACAATTAAATAAATAAAAAAAAGTAAAATTAAATATTATATAATTTAGTTTGCTTTTTTTTTTTTAAAAAAAAAAAAATAAAAACTATTCACATATATTTACATATCATTATTATCCTGTAATCCTTGTAATAATTCTTTCAAATTTAACTTTCCTTTATCTACATTTGGTTCTATATTCTTTTCTTTTTCTTTCTTTTCTTCTTTATTTGATTTATCATTATAAGAAATTCTCCATAACCTGGTATATTTATCTTGTGATGCACTTGCCAATAATAAATCACCATCATTCAATTTATATTGTTGCTTAATTTTTGTTGTTGAACTTTCATCATCATTTATTATTGAACTCACTGATAATTGAGAAGGTGATGTATAAGTAGCAAAGGATAAAGATCTAATCCAATTTTCATGCCCTTGAAGTGATAATGATTTAATAAACTAAATAAATATATATATATATAATTATAAATTTTTTTTTTTAAAAAAAATAAAAATAATCTTCAAAAATAAAAATCATGACAATAATAAAAATAAAAAAAACCTTACCTGCTCATTTTTTTGAATATATAAAAATATTTTTTTGTCAGTACCTCCAATTGCTAGAATTGGAACTTTATTATTAAAAAAAATAATTTCAATTAATATATTTGTATTTTAAATATATTTACTGTTAAATTTGATAAATATAATTAATATAAATGATGCCTTTTGATTCTGGAAGATATGATAAAGTCAAACCCATTGGATACTTTGATTCAAGATTAATTGTTTGAATGCAAGTTACAGTATCTTTTAATAATAATTATTATTATAATTATAATATAAAAAAGGAAAGGAATTAATTTTAGATATTTATATAAGAATAAATTATTATTATTATTATTATTATTATTATTATTATTATTATCATACCTTTGACATCATCAATTATGATTCTTTCCCAAACTTTTACTACCCCATCAGAAGATCCAGTAACAATTAAATCTTTTTCTACTATAATTGATTTTGCTTGAATTACTCCAATTGTATTAACTGAACCTTCATGGGAATCTAAAATTGCTGAATTTATCCACTATTTTTTTTTTAATAATTATGAATTTTTTATGTATAGTTATTATGTAGTTATATATAACGAGAAAAAAAAAAAAAGGAGTGAAACAATTAATATATTTTTTTTTTACCTTTTCATTTTGTGTCTTTTTCCAAATCCTTGCAGTTTTATCTGTAGAACCTGAAATTATTGCGATATTTGTTTGATTCAATTCGTCTCCTTTTTAATTCAAAAAAAAAGTATATATATTATTATTATTATTATATAATTTATTCATAACTGACATTATATTCTTCTTTACCTCGATTAATAAAGTTCACACAATTCACTCGACCTTTGTGTCCAGTGAGTGTCGCTATTATTCCTCTAGAATTAGGATCCTATACATATGGATATAAAAAAAATATAGATAAAGAATTCATAATTATTATTATTTAGTAAAAAAATAAATAAATAAATATATATATATATACCTCAGGATAATATAATGCGACATAATTATGAGCTCCAAATGCAACCAATCCATCTTTTGCCCAAGCAGCTACTTGGGGAGTTTTATTACAACCAACATTTATATATTCGGAAGATAATTTCATAATTACCATTTCAAGATTTTTTTTTCGAAATTAATCGATTTTTATCATAATTATTCCTGATTGGCTGCCTCAATCTTAAATCATTAATTTTACATTACTATATAATAAAATTATTCAATAATTTATTAATATAAAAATAAACAAAAGTATATTTGTATAATCAATTTATAAATCAAATGATTATTTCATTAAATAATAAAATACTGATCAAAGAAATTAAAAAGGTTGGAAATTTTTAAAAAAAATAGTCATAAATGCTTTTTTTTTTACATATTTTCGTTATAATTAAGTTTTTTTTTTTCGTGAGCAAAATTTCATCAATTGCATCCTCATCACGTGATATTGACAGTAAAATTTTCACGAGTAGCCACATATCCTTTGTTTGGCTTGTTGCCTAAGTTGAACAATAATTATTTTATTTTTTTTTGACTTACTAAAAAAAGCAGCAATTAAAAGATAAGACCGAATTTAAAATAAAGAAATTGGACCAATGATAATGGCCTCAGGTGATTGTTGTATCACCCATCGTTCTATAATTATTTTCATTGTGCTGCGCGTAGCATGCATCAATTCTTTTAATTCTTTTGCATTTCGCTTTATTTTTTTTTTCTACACATTCACAAAAAAAAAAAATGGCATTAAAATTTTTTGATAAATTATCTCAAAATTTTATTGAATTTCTTAATGACAAAGATGATTACAATGTAATTATCGAAGTTGAAGATAAGAAGTATTTTACTGCACACTCTAACATACTTAAATGTCGGTCCCCTTATTTTATTAAAGAATTGGATACTATTAATCCAAGTGAGAATAATATCAAAACAATTATTAAACCTGAAATTTCTGCTCAAGTTCTTGATATTATTCTCAAGTAAGTTATAATTATTTTAATTTTAAAATAATAATATTGTGACTTCACTATAATAATTTAATTATTGTTATTTAAACTATACAAATTATATAGATATATTTATGGTGGTATCGTTAATTTAGAAAATATTGAAACGAGAATTATTTTTGACTTGATGTTAACAGCTAACAAATTCGAGCTTGAAGAATTATCTAAAAAATTAGAAGCTATTCTTATCGAAGAGAAAGCTTTTTGGTTAAAATCACACTTTCCTCTTATATATTGTACAATTTTTATTAATAATAACTTTAAAGATTTAGAAAATTTTTGTAAT